ATGTTGAGGACTTCTGTATCAGTCACTCTGATGATTCCTGCTAGGATGAAATACGTATAAGCGAATATGCAAAGGCACTATACGTGAAATAAAATCTTAATCTTAATCTGTCGTTTCTTTATACTCTTTTGAGGATATTAGATATGGTAAAGTTCATTAAGATGGGACGTGCATGAAACAAAGTGACCTAGCTAGAACAATGCTCCTTGAAAGACACATTGGTCAGAACAGAAGAGAAATACACAAAACAATGTTCCTTTATAACATCGATAAAGACATGAGAAATATGGGAATACGTGTTAGGCGGAGAAAGGCGATAAATAGGTATTATTTAAAAACAGAAAATCTATTTTCTCTTACTTGCGATTTGTCTTTTCGATTCTAATAATAGAAACTGGTAAATAACTAATGAAAATACATATTTAATTGAAGCAGTATTACCAGATATATAGAATTATAATATATTCTTGCATATATGATCTTAAATTTGAATCCATTAATTATACTTTCAAATGAGATGACACAGTCATTTGAAATAGATCGATAGAGTTCCAGAACCCGTGTGTAGGTATTTCATGAAACTTTAATTAACTATAAAAATGTAAATGGCGTCTCTATTATATGTCTAATGAATTCACTAATTAATTAATTGATGTAAGAGTACAAATATAATAATATAACACGTATGAGAAGTGACTTAAAAAACCCAACTATAAGTCCAATATATTTTAATTAGCAGGAAATGGTAAAGGTGGAAATATAAAGGGATCTCAAGAGATTCTGGTTTATCAACATCAACCTGTATGCGTCCACTGCTAGACATAGGTCTCCCTCAGCTCTTTCCATCTGCTTCTGTCTTCTGTGGCTTGCATCCAGTTACTGCTAACACGCTTCAGGTCGTTAGTCCACCTGGTTGGTGGGCGTCCCTTGCTCCGTAGTGTTTTTGTCTTGGTCTCCATTCGACAATACGTTTTGTCCATTGGTCTGATAATCTAGCGACGGACGCGATTTATTCGATGGCGTCTGTTGTTTTTGTTCTACGACGTATTTCTTCGTTTGGGATTCGGCCTCTCAGAGAGACCCCCAACATCTGGCGCTCCATAGTTCCTAAGTCACGCGAATCTGAGTCACTACCTGTTTTGTAAGTGTTAATGTTTCCGCCCCATAAGTGATTACAAGCAACATACATTGGTCAAAGATTTTTCTTTCAAAGTATATGGGTGGTAACAATTTAGATACATACTTTAATTTACCAAACGCTGTCGACGTTAATCATATGCAACATATCTGGATATCTCTGCTCAACAGAATTTTATGCTCCAAGTACTTATACGATGCAGTATGCATAATACCCCTTCCATCAACAGTAATATTTCTATTTAGCATCTGATTAGTGATTATTTGCATCTTATTCATATGAATCTTCAGTCCGACGTTCAAGGAAGCGTAATATAATTTTTCAAACATGATTATTGCATCATCCATACGATCGGCTATAAGGACGATCTCATCTGCAAACCTCAAATGATTGAGCTTCTCTCAGTCCCCTTTCCGTTTCCTTTAGTGCCTTCGTTATGCCATTATTTGCTTGATCTACATAAGTATATATAAGCATCTAAGTATAGTAAATGTATAGTTTCTGTCACACCTTCATAAAATGGTAATTGATGGGATCTCATTACTTTTACGAAAAAATAAATAGGTATGTAGAAGATTTAAATTACTTGTTTGTCGAATCTCTAACGAATACTGATAGCACTTTGAAACTATACGCTTGTTCAATTGAAACTCATCTTTGGTCTGGTTAGCCTTGGAAACACTTTTAATCACTCAACTGAAAATCTGCAAACGGTTGTAAACGTCATAGTGATGAGTTCCTATAATTTGTATGTAACAGCGACTTCAAGTATTGTGATTTAAAAATGGCGACATACCCTGTATATATATCATAGGGGCAATAATTTCCTAATACACATTATTTTTCAGTTTGTCGTTTAGGACAAAAAATAAAAATTAATGTATTTCCAAAGAATTTGTCCTTTTTTTCTAATATATTTGTATAAACTTTATAAAATGTTTTCTTTACTGTTATTTTTTTGCGTAATAGGGGAACCTTGTTTAGTATTTAGTAATGTTTTTTGGCAGATTATTCATGTGATTCTTATCACGTACGCAACTGTTGTGCAGAATCATATTAAGGAGCGAAATCGTTATATAAAATGCGCAGAAAAAACAGTTATTATAACTTTTAATATATAAAGTTCAATATATTTATATTGTTGCGTTAAATATCGCACTTAGTAAAACGTTAATACTAAGGTGGTAATATTTCGAATAATTGCTTATTTGAGATTATTAAATATTAGTCAATTGTATAATGTTTATAAATTATTGGCTCATATTTTATGTTTTTTTTTTATTTTGTACGTCAATGATTTATTATTTATGGAGATGCAATTAATAAATTTATAATGTGATTAGAGATGTTTTTTAAGATATTAACATTAGAAGACGTCGATGCCTTGTAGCTTATTAAAAAGTAAAAATAATAGCTTCCAGGCTATTATATTTATCATCATTATCATCTACCCTTCTCACGTCACTAGCTGAATAAATCTTATATATATATATATATATATATATATATATAATATATATATATATATATATATATATATATATATAATATATACATTGAGAAACAAAATTATGGAATACATTAATTTTTCGAGAATAGGCGACTTTAGAGATAAATCCCGAAGTAGGTCTCAAAATTTTAATTTGGTCAAGTATTGTCAGGCCAAACAAATCATAGTATCTAAAATAGGATTTATGAACACTTCATTTCTGTTTGCAATATCGATTCAATTTCAGCTCTAGGTCAACACCATCTTCTAACAGGTCACAAAATTTATTTTAAAAACTCCAGAATCATAACACCATTTCGCTTCTATATACGCACAATTATCCGAGAAACCATATAGATTGAAAAAAAAGACACAAATTGTCTCAATAAAAGATATAACGGCATCATAAAGAAAATATTGTCTGCTTCAAACGTCACCATCGACGGTATAAATGAATCGTCCGCTGTTTCCGGTAGCAGTAGTGCATTGATTAGTGATCAGTGACTGAGACCCCGGAAGCGCTGAAAAAGATATGAAAGAGGATGTGCCACATCCGGTCCTGTAACATCCGGACTTCCCCATATCCGGACAGTTCGCGGAACTAATTTTTCGAAGATATGAACGGTTCAGCACCTATATAGTTCTCTACGAATGGGTGTATTTCTAGCGTGGTATGTGACCTTGAATGACTCTGTCTACTCAGTGACTCAGAATTCAAGAATAAAAAGGAAAGAGTGACAATTTTAGACTGCAGCAACGCTACTCTCACAAACTCTCTCTAGGATTTATCGGAAAGTCAAAAAAAACCTAGGGCTTTCAAAATATTTAAAGACTTTTTCTCTACCAGTTTGGTACTGTCATCAAAAGAGTGCTTGAACAGTCTTCTATTCAAAGAAAGGTTTTTCAATCAATTTGTACCAAAGCTTGAAAAATATTGAGCAAGAAATAATCTACCGAGAAAGGCAGTGCTGCTGGTGGACAACGCACCCTCTCACCTTTTACCACAAGAACTAAAAGATAGCGAAATAAAGTGTCTTTTTTGCTCGAAAATGTGACCTCCCTCAGTCAGCCTATGAACCAAGGTGTTGGTCCATAGGCCAATCTATAAAACGTGTCTATCGACGAAAGTTACTGACGGCATTGATTGCTGAAATGAACGAACGAGGAAACGTTACAGAGACTAAAAAAAGACATGTTGGATATGGTGATGTGGACAACAAACTGGATTGCAGCAGCTAAAGATAGAGAGAACTGGAGACGTTTGGAGAAGGGCTATATCCAACAATGGATGTGAAAATGGGGCTGGATTATGATATATTAAACAAGGTGTGCCAGAATGATGATATAAACTCAGACAGCAAAAGGGATAAAAGCACTAACAAAAATACAGTGGTAATGAGCCACTCCAAAGCATTCAAGTCATTTGAAGCTCTACTGTGCTGCTTTGAAAGTCAAGCTGATACTTGTGCAAGTGACGTGATGCTCTTAAAAAGGATGAGACACTTGGCTTCAAAAAAACGTGTAAAGTGTGGAAAGCCGCATAAATAAACAATTTTTTCAAAAACTAATGTGTAAGTTGTGTAACCTTTTGTTATTAATATGGAGCATTTAGTATGTATGTACCAAGTTTATAAACGTTTAATTTTTGTTTGTAAGAACAGAAATACAGCTTGAAAACTTTATAATATTTAGGTTTTTATTTTACCTTTTTTTATCTATGTAATGTATGTATGTATTGTGTTTTAGTCTGGTTTTAGTCTTACACCTACATATTTTTAAATAGTCTTGATATCCGGATTTTTCATATTCAGATCGGTCGGTCGCCAAATTGATCTGAATGTTGCATGTTAAACTATATGCAATATATATATATATATATATATATATATATATATATATATATATATATATATATATTTACGCCATTTACTTTATCAACCTTTGTTTTTTATTTATTGCTTATGCTATGCCAAGGGTTACTTAAATCGCTTTCACAGCTTTTTTCCGTTATTGGTGTTGGTTATTGTAACATAATTTTTAAAGCTTTTATAAATATTAATTAAACATCTTAATTTTCAGTGGATAAAAATATGGATATGGTTCTGTAGCTAGTTTCTTATAAAATTTACTGTCTTTCATAGGAATTAACCACAATTTCAGTTGAAAATACGCTTATTTTGACGCTTCTATTTCCACTTTGGAAAAGAAAACTATCTTCGAAGTGAAATCTAAACGTTAAAATAACTTATTTTCAAATTGTGGTTAATCCCCATTAAAGACACCAAATAATATAGAACTTGTCTTTTTTTGGAATTAAACAAGTGTCTGACCTAAAACATAATCTATAATAATTACCCAGTTAGGTGCACTTACCTTTAGGGAAGCCATGTCGGAGACAGATCGATGGGTTTGTATAGTTTCTAGTTGATCTAGGCACCAATCCAACTCTTCCATGGTTTCCATAGCCAATTTCATATAAGCTTCATCTGAAAAAAAAAACACAAAATAAATAAATAGAAATACAGGTAAAAGTAGTCCATAATAAATGAATTTAATTAGGTTTACTTTGATTACCAGCTATTTGCATTAGTTATTTAACTGAACCAACTGGAAGCAAAATTAGATTTTTACCAACCTAGGGAATAGGCAGGTTTAAAAAAAATTGGCACCAACGACCACCTCCACTGCATATCAGGTATTATAGAAAAATCCATTCAATGCAACCGACTATTAATTGATCCTAGCTTTCGTAAACTTTCACCAAGCATTCGATACGATAGAAATTAATCGTGTATTGAGAGCGTTGGAGAAAAGTCGCATAGATTATCGGTACTCCAAATTGATCGCGAAAAAATATGCTTTAAAAAATGGAGCGGGAAGCCAAAGGAATCAATGACGACGGCGAAAGTGTCTCCCTCCTATGATCTGCGCATGACATCGTTCTGATAATAGATAACTTAAAAGAAATTGGAACTATGCTTACTGGGTTAGATGCTGCCTGTAATGAAGTTGGTTTGAACATCTATTTTGGACAGACACGATCTTTACATGACAAATCTAATACCAAGCGAAAATCTAAAAGCGACTGCATCGAAATAGGGTTAGTTCATAAATATATATACTTAGGTCATGAAATACAAATTTCTAGGAACAACCAAACTTCTAAACTGCAAAGAAGATTCACTTTAGTATGGGCTGCATATGGAGCTCTATCAGCCATCTTCAAGAGCAACATACCAAATTATTTGAAAAAGAAGTTCGACCAATGTGTGCTCCAAATCATAACTTATGGCGCCGAAATACTTTCCTTAACCCAGGTCACAGCAACCAACTCGTTATTTGGACTGACTCTCAGAGATAAAAACAAAAAATTAAGAAGGATATGCATCACAGATAGAGCGCATAGCACAGCTGAAGTGGAACTCGGCGGGCCATGTTGCCAGAATAAATAACAGGTGGTGGACCCAAAAAATTACAGTGTGAAGACCACGAGCTGACAGAAGAAGCAGAGGTAGACCACCTATACAATGGACAGACGACGTCAAAAGAATCGCTGGGAATTGGCTGCAGGAAGCTTAAGACCGACAGAACTGCAAGAAATTAGGGAAGAAAAGATGATGGAAAAACCTTAGCGATTTGATTTCTAGTAATCCATTCGTGACTATACGAAAATAAGAAAGACAGTTAAGATTTAATTTCAATAAAGAACACCACCATTTGCTTATACGCATTTCATCCCTATGAAATCATCAGAGCGAACTGTGGTAAGTTCTGTGAACTAAGGCAAATCTATCTGACCTAGTGGTATTCTGTATTAAAATTAAATCTTACCTCTCTTTCTTCTTTTCATATACTCAAGAATGGACTACTAGAAATCAGTTTACGAATGGTTTTTGCCTAGATAAAGTGACGAGTTATGTAATGTAAATTATAGATTCATCATGTCTGTTCCTTTATCTTCTGTTTGCTTTGAAAATTGTAGAAACAGTGAAACCTGAACAGATTTCAAAGATGAGAAGTATCCACATTTTAATTGTTTTTAATTAATGTCGCTATAGCGTCTGTATGTAATTACTTTTAAATAATTACTAATGATAAAAATATTTGGTTTTAGAGCGAATTTTACCAGACTTTGGCCAAATGGTTTGGAAAAACGTTATTGACTTTTTTTCCAAAACTGTTTTCATATGGGATTTTAAGTAGAAGGATTAAATGTAGAATCCCTCATCTATTCCAAGACCAATCGTCTCTTTTTCACGAAAATATACTTTAAACAATCAATTAACATGCTTTTCTATATATTGTCGGAAATTTAAAATTAATAATATGCGAAATAAGGGTATCATTCTGTAGTTGCTACAGTGTGTAGGTTAGCCCTTCTTGTGCAATGGTATGTAAATTGACTTACAATATTTTGTTGGTTCCTTATCATTGTCGCAAGTTAGGTATTATTTATAATGTTATAGTTTTTTTGCAGTATTGTCTTTATACTTCGCATGGTCTATTGGACATGGACATGGTCTATTGTGATTTGCATGCTGTTTAAAGTGTTTTAGTTTCTTATGCCCATTTTTATCTTCCTTACACGTCTTTTGTATTTCTTTCTCTAGAATTTTCCTATCTTCTATAGTTTTAAGAGCATTTCTTGCGGAATTGAGTCTTTGTGTTGAAAAACTGTTTTAATATGTTTAAAATTAAAACTGTTTTATCGAGTGTATGATCTGATGGTCTTTGGTTGGTCTGATATCATTTACTGTCCTTACTGTTATAGCGAGGCAGCATTTGTCATCTATAAAATATAAATTTTATACAACATAAAATTTATGGAAACTTTGCCCCATATAAATAAATATATTGAGAAAAATAATATTATAAATTTTAGTTTACACAAAGCTAATTATATAGTTTTAATTCATCTTCCTAGGCGTTGAATAAATTGACAATTTTAAAGATGATTTTAAAAGTTCCTTTCATCGAGTTTTCACAATTTTAAATTTAATTTTAAAAATTCCTTTAATCGAATTTTAACAATGAGTTTTGCGTACAAAATTTCCAATTTCTTAAAATTTTGAATAATGCTAGGCCCATATAGGTTTCTTAATATTGTTCTGAAGCTATTTGATTCTAACATGTTACAGCAATTTACTATTTCTACTGAGAAAAAGCCACAAATTTGCTATAAAATAAGTTTATTTGACATTTTGATTTCCACTTCGGAAATCGTTCTCAAAATACGAAGAATTATTTCAGAAGTGAGAATTAGGAAACTTATAAAAAAAGGAAATAAGAGTAAAATTATTGCTTATTCCCAATAAATAAAACAATTTTTGCATTTTTTTTCTAGATATTCTATAAATGACAAAAGAAAATTTACCCGACAATTAGTTTATTAGATTAATAATTATTTACTATTATTAACAACAATAATAACGATCGTTATTGTTCTGATGAATTTTCTCTTCTATAAGCAAGCAGAAAGCAAGACCATGACGTACTTTATCGAATTGACCTCTATATAATATTTAGTTACTATATACATTAGTGTATGATGGTTAAATAGGAGTCTGTGTAAACAGACGATATACATTAATATTGAATAATGCTGTGATCAAGAGGAGGCTAAATTTAGTCGTCACGATCATGCCCATAATCATTTCAATTAGTTAATTTTAAGGAAGCATGTGCAGATATGTTACACGTGAACAACTAAATCTATTAAAATGATTAGGAAGATCGACTATTTTAAGACAGAAATATATCAAAAAAAAAAACAAATACTGATAATTAATAGGAAAAAATCGGGAAAGTATTTGTAAAAGATCAAATTATTATCAAACTTTATTTTACATTACTTTTTTCTGTAACATAGAACATTGTTATATCGTCCTCACAAAAGAAGAGTTCGACGGAAAACAAGGACAAATAATTTCGCCAGTAACAGAAGTTAGAAAGGTAAGAAAGATAGAGTAGTTAGACCAGAATATATCTCTGACGGAGTATGGCTAATTACAAGACCATAAAGTGTAAAAAATATTCAATTTAGCTAACAGGTTTGTTTAATAGAATGGTCACAAAAATGCCAGTTAGACAGAAAACCGGACTTAATGTAGCCAATTGACCTATTGAACATCTTTTCATCTTCTATTTATTCGCGATACCCATTCCAGAATTTTGAAACTCCGTACCGACTTGTACAGGCCCAGTCGATTGGTAGCATATATTTTGACGTCAATTGGTAGTCTTTAAAAAATGTTAACCGTCTGTAATATAGTGCATCACAGTCATGCAAACTACGATTGACAGAATATGCAGCTTCAGCTTGTCTCCATAAAACAGTTCCATTGTGTGCAGCTGTCTCTTAATTGTAAATAATAATAAACTTATTTTAAAATTACGAAGGAAACTAAATTCCTGTATTTGGCTGTATACCATGTATCACAAAAAAATTTATTTAAAAAAATTCCTTTATAAAAGGTATAATAATAAAGTAAATTAATAAAATATTCCTCATCATCTCAATATGGTATCTGGTAGAAAAGACCATCTCTTCGTTGCGGAAAAGTGTCTTCTGTGGGAAAAAAATTGGCAACAAATTGTTATTCACTTTCGTCCATCACACCTCTGATCATTGCCTGAGATATCTTTTTAATCTGAGCTTGGACTTGTTTGCCAACAGGAGGTGATCAGAATTAAAAATAACTTAGGCACAACGGTACTTCCAAAGGCTAAAATGTGGATAAACAGAGAAAATATCCACAGCTACCACATTAGGTTTGCGTAATGCTTCTCAATGACATTCTTGGAATCCTTAAAGAACTTTTTAATAGCTTTAAACTGAGAGTCTCTAACTATGTCTAAAGTTTCATTGTGAAGGGATTTCTTAATACTATAACCAACATTAGCTTCAACTTTGTCTATAGTCTGAGGCTGGAATCTGGTTTATTCTGTTGAAATGTACTCAGTTCTTCACAACCAGGACACCGACAAAAAAGTTCTTCCTCTTCTTCTTCTTTTTATATAGACATGACCTTGTCTGTTTTTTAACGTGCCTCCAGTAAGTTGTCATTCCATCGTTTTCGTGGTCTTTATATTGGGGAACCATCTCTTGCCGTCTTTACTACTCTATTTCTTGTCATTCGGCTTATATGATCGTTCCATTCTACTCTTCTATTTCTTACCCAGTTTTTGACGTTCTCTATCTTGCATCTATGTCGTATATCTGTACTTATGTCTGTCTCATACCATATGTCTTACCATCAAATTTTTCTAAGCGTTTTATCTCTGCTATTTTCAATATCCTTTTTGTCCTGTCTATGTCAGGTCTTGTTTCTGCCACGTATGTCATTATTAGTCTAATAACTGTTTTGTAAATTCTAACTTTCGTTTCTTTCCCAATATTTTTATTTCTCCATATTATTTCATTTAAATAGCCTGCGGCTCTATTTGCTCTATTCACTTGATCTTCCACTTCGGTTTCGAGCTTTCC